CGAGAACAGTGAAGCAAATGAAGGTGAGGACAAACCAGTCATGATATACGGGACCAAGACCACCGGGAATCAGTCATGCTCAGATAAATACACTTTCAGAAAAACGGAATAAAATAAAAATTAAAAGAAAGTTACCTTACTCCAGTTTTATGATCTTCATATAATGCTATTGTAGAGTCATTTGGAAAGCCTATCCCAATGAAATTACGTAGTGCGAATGAAGATATAGAATTTGTCCACTCCATATCACTTGTATATTTTGACTGCATTTTACTCTGTAAAATATCACTGCTGTCAAATACAAGTAAACGTGCAGTAAACCATATACGGTTATTCAGAGTATTCTGTACATCGTTACCAACAATTAAATGATCCATAGTTTGTTTACTTGGTCTGTGAATAAAAGGAAAGGCAATACAGTTAGTGTGAACCTATGGCATTTCGGAAGTGAACATTTTTGGTAGCCCACCAAAGTTGTAGTATTCATTGCATCATGTATCAGTATTACATTCTTTACTGTTCTGATGTGACTTTCTATTAAGCAAAGTAACTGGGTACTACGGCAAACCTTTGACTCCATAAACGACCTAGCATGCTCGAGGATGCTTTCATGTGGCTACGTGTTCACAGATTTTTTAGGTATATCCTATTCACTCTCTTGCAGTGCTGGATGGTGGATAAGAACATTCGATGCTTACAGTCGGACTGATTGACATGCTGGTCTGCCTACGGGATTCCAAACCTATGGTGTACATGGGCTCCAGGATCCGAGTGAATCAAATGGCGTATGAACCTGTTTTGGACTCTGGTAACCATGGGAAGTCATCTCCTAACACTGCTTCACTGCCATTTGGATCAGACTTCAAGTCAGAGGCTCCTTGGGTGGCTCCTTCGGCCTTGGCGTTCGAGCAGTATCTCAGTCACCATTCGAACCATATAATTTTGTATGGCACATCTCTCGGCGCCCATAATGTACCAAGTTTGCGTTTCATTGGATTAATAAACAATAAACAACGAATTCTTAACTGTACTCAGTGGATGAGTTCTGAACTTTGAAAGACTTTTGTCTTAGTCTTTATTCTCAAGAATTAACGAGTGTAACAAAGAATTTCACTTCATTCCACTTATAGCTTGATATTTTATGAATACATTGGGATCAGGGAAAAAACGGAAAAAGTGGACTGTTGTTCCATGAATAAAAGCCGCCTGTAATTAGTAACTTCAAATATGGAGGTTATGTATACTGTCTCTACAAAGTGGAGAGTACTCAGTACTCAATGGGAAGTCCCTTAAGAGCACTTTTTGCTGATTTATTCTTGCCAGGCTTAGAAGCTGGTATTTTGAGACTGCATATACAACAAATGGAATTATACCTAAGATGTGTTGATGATATTTTTATTGTCTGTGAAAGCAAATCAAAAGCTGAAGACCTATTGACAAAATTCAACTCATGCCATCCGAATCTTAACTTCACAATAGAACACGAGGAAAATGATTCTATTAAATTCTTAGATGTCTCTCTAATGAAAAGGAATGGCGACTTAATGGAAAGATCTATATTTAGAAGGTCTTCATGGATGGGACAGTACATACATTTAAAAAGTTTTGTTGCGATCCAGTATAAAGAGAACTTAGTCAGAACACTGTTTAATAGGGCACGAAAAATTTGTTCTGACCGTACAATTGAACATGAAACAAAGGCTCCGAAGGATATTTTACCTCAGAATGAATATCCTGAGAAGTTCATCAATAAATACTCCAAAGAAAATAGCCCCTGCAAAACAATCCGAACAGTTTCAAAGAAAGTTAGCGGCCCATGTCAGTTTTCCATTCAAAAGAGATGATGCACAAGAAGAGGTCAAACCAAGACTTGACAAAGCTATCAAGAGAACTTATTCTTCTGCAAAACTCGTCTTCCTTAACACCACCAAGTGACTGCTCCAACAACCTGAGAGTAACCAGTCACCAATTCTCAACACTTCAAAGTGCCCACATCAATTTGATGAGTGTGTTTGTGGGCGCAAATACAAAGTTGGTACAGAAAGGTGATTGTCTACACGCATGATGGAGCATTTACCAAAGTGGTTGAAAACAGCTAAAGTCAAAATGCCTCAAAAGTTCAATAACAAAGCATCCTGTGGATTACAGACATGATACTGACGCTGCCAAGTGGTTCACTGTTGTCAGCAGACAAACTAATAAGCAGGAAGATGCTTGCGCTTGTGGAGGTTTGTGCAATTAGAATTTATAAACCAGGAGTCTGTGCAGAGAAAGGAATGGTGCTCACTTTGAAACTATCATGGTAATATGTTTTATTTACCAACTGTTATTATTTTTATTATCACTATTTTAGTCTACCTCACATAATTTAATACTATCTTTTATCATTAACATTATCTTAACACAAAAATTGAAGGACCAGGACACAAAGGACATCTTCACTGCAAAAATAAAAGACAAAGCCGAGACGCAAATCAACACTGGCGAAGAGGTCAGCGTCGAAAAGCACTGGAACAACTTGAAAACAGTGTGGAGTCAAACCTGCATGGAAGTTCTAGGCAGAAAGAAGAGACAGGACAAACAGTAGCTCACTACGGACACTTGGAGACTGATAGAAGAGAGAAGGATGCTGAAACAAAAGATTATCCAGTGCACCGACGAGCAACAAAAACAGGATTTGAATGCAAACTACAAGACACTGAACAAAAGAGTAAAGAAGAGTGCCAGAGAAGACAAAAGAAAGTATTATGAAACCATGGCAAGTGAGGCAGAACAAGCTGCAGGCAAAGGAGACCTCGCAACACTCTACCAAACAACTAGGTACCTATCGGGCAAACGTTTGACACAAATCAAGCCAGTGAAAGATGACAACGGAAAGTCACTCACCAAAGAAGTGGAGCAAAGGAAACACTGAGCTGAACACTTCAAAAGACCCTTAAATCGACCACCACCTACAACGCGCCCAACAATACCAACAACGGAGACAGAGCTACCAGTGAACACCAACCCCCCAACGAAATCAGAAGTTCTGAAGGCAATCAAGATGCTAAAAGCTGAAAAAGCAGCAGGACCAGATGGAATCCCAGCAGAAGCATTGAAAATGGATCCAGAAACAACAGCGGACTTGATGACGCCACTACTGGAGAAGGTGTGGAAAGAAGGCAAAGTACCTGAGGATTGGAAGAAAGGATACTTATTCAAACTACCAAAGAAAAGAGACTTAAGTCAATGCAAGAACTGGCACGGAATTATGCTCCTGTCCATCCCAAGCAAAGTATTGAGCCGCATTATCCTGGAAAGAATCAAACATGCCTTGGATGAAAAACTTCGACCGGAACAGTCTGGATTCAGGAGAAACAAGTCATGTATTGATCAAATCGCCACACTACGGATCATCATTGAACAAAGTTTGGAATGGCAGTCACCTCTCTATCTCAACTTCATCGACTTTGAAAAGGCCTTCGATAGCACAGCGTCGATCGAGAGGTGATTTGGAAACTACTTCGCTACTATGGGGTGCCACCGACAATTATACATCTCATCCAACAGCTGTACGACAATGCTGCATGCCAAGTAATCCACAATGGGAAACTTACGGAATCCTTCGAAGTGAGAACAGGAGTAAGACAAGACTGCCTACTATCGCCAATGATTTTCCTGATCGCAGTAGACTGGATAATGCGACAAACAGCGGGCAATGGGGAAACAGGCATAAAATGGATCCATACAAAAACTTGGAGGATCTTGACTTCGCCGATGATATATGTCTGATTTCCCACAAACTGCAAGATATGCAAGTGAAAAGCAACAAGTTGGCAGAAGAAGCATCAAAGATAGGACTTCAGGTGAACATAGAGAAAACAGAGGTGATGAAGATTCCTGGCCAACAACAACAGACAACAATCAGCATAAATGGAAGGAACCTGAAAGAAACTACCTCTTTTACCTACCTGGGAAGCATCGTTTCAACTACAGGCGGAACTGACGAGGATATCAAAGCAAGAATCAGAAAAACAAGACAAGCTTTCACTACTCTCAAGTCTGCGTGGAGGTCAACAACACTCAGCATCGAAAATAAGGTCCGGATTTTCAACTCCAATGTGAAGTCAGTGCTACTATACAGATCAGAGACTTGGCCAGCGCGTCATAAAGAGCATCTCAAACAAACTACAGACCTTCATTAACGGTTGTCTTCGCTCAATACCACTCAAGATCAGATGGCCGGCCAGAGTTGATAAGCAACAGAGATCTCTGGGAGCGAACCAACACAGCAGGAACCGATTGTAAAACAAATAGGCAGGAAGAAATGGAGATGGATTGGCCATACTCTTAGGAAACAAGCCATCAAGTGACATCACTAGACAAGCCATTGCTCGAGTGGAACCCGGTCGAAAGGGAAGCGGCGAGTTGGTCGTCAGTGTGAGGGTGACTTGGAGGAGGTCATGTGAAGAGGAGAAGAAAACGTGTGGGCAGACATGGAGCCAGGTGAAGACTCTAGCGGAGAACCGAACGCAATGGAGACGCACGGCTGAAGCCCTATGTTCCTGTAGGAATTAAAGGATACAATAATATAATATAATAATAATAACTCGTTTTGACATTATTATAATTGTTACTATTATTATTATTATTATTTAGTTCACAATTCTTCCTATATTCAGGTCCTTTCATTCATTGATAAGTAACTGTTTACTTCGTTGATATAACTGAACCGTGTAATGCATTTCATCCTAATTAAATATCCCTGCATGAAGAGTATCTAGCTAAGAAAGAGTTCTGCCGAAATTTGATGAATATTCACTAAATCCTACTTCATTAACTCTTGTTGCTCGTTTTAAATTCGTATCAGGAAATAAATGTTGCTAAAGAAATAGCAACTATACTCACCTAGAAAGACCTGGTGTCTGACGGAGAGAGTAATCAACTAGCTGCTTGGGTGTGATCATATTGCCAACATCTCGAGTAGTCTGATTTCTCAGATTATTTTCCTACCATCGAAACTAATTATTTAATGCTGAATAGCTTACCTTGTAACCAGATACATTTTTTGCATGTTCACTCCTCCACATGTTCTCTAGATCAGAACATATGCGATGAGTGATATCACCACGTCTTGAAGACATTTGTCCACCGTCATCCTAACCAGACAGTCATAATTTTTGCCATACGACTTACCTGCAAGTTCTCAGGTTTTCTATCTTCTGTATGACTTAGCACGGAGTCCTAAAAGTAAACACTGGGTATCAGTACTTACCAAAGGTAAATGTGTAGCCCAAGGTGGATAAACAGCAGGTCGTATGGAAAAATTGCGACTGGAATCACTTAGTGATTCTGTACCCCAGCTAACTGTTGAATCTGAACGTGGTGAATAGTTTTTATCATTGGCGACAGTGTATAATGGCTCATCTTCAGAAGTGGATGAACTATCCAGGCATAGTTTCGGTACACCTCTTTTTTTTTAATATTTGATAAACTACTACCACCACCTACCCAGAGTTAATTATCTTCTCACCACGCATACTTTAATTTCAGAGCACACGTCAATACCTAGAATTAGATAAAAGTAATAAGAAAAAACATCAGCAGGGTATTAAACATAATAATCAACTCTGTTAACTGATCGCCATTAGAGATTAATACCTGAAGTGAAATGAAGTGTTACATGTAAACCCAAATCTCTTGTTATGTGACACCATAACAGAATGTTTCAGGTGTTAACTGCATTTCTTTTTATTGCACTAATTGGAGAAGTCGAGGTGAGTGATACCGATTTTAGTGTGGGGAGTAAACCAAAGAAGTGTACAAGTTTCAGGTAGGTTTTCCCCATACTCAAGCAAACAAAACTGACCCTTACCATATGAAAGGAATTACATCAGTAATTATCCACAAAGACTAACAAGATAACTAGGTCATCTTTCTTGCACGAAGAACATCTATCTATTCATGTAGAAACACTGGACGTCCTACTTTAATGACTGCTTCAACAACATAAGACCACACAAAGTCCAGAAATTGCCACATTTAAGAAAAGAAAGGTAGTGCAACTATACTGGACGAAGGCAATGACGAGTAAAATACTTAGGTGAAGATCGGTAACAGTTTCTACAATATAGTAAATAAAATGGAGGGAGAAATCTGTACCACTGCAAGTGATTAAGAGGCATGTTATTAACAGCCTTCCATACATTTTAAACAACTCGGGGACTCTTGTCAAACAGCAGATTTCCCCATGTGGCCCGAATAAACAGTAAAAAATTTAAAAGACTGATACTATGTTTTGGCCTAACTACTCGCAAATCTTTTCCGACCTGCTCCTATACTGGCCAACCCTAACACAAAAAGTTGAAGGCAGACACTTTTGGTCAAAAACCACTAAACTTTGCGTATATTCCAAATTCACTGATAACATTTCATATCCTTAAGGTAATGGAATGCTAACTGCTATACACATGTCAGCTGATTGATAGCGGAATATCATAGCTGTACCAAAAAAGTGATTTATATATTTTATATTTTTTATATTTTTATTTTTTTTTATATTTTTGGTTACAGCTTGATTCCACACCGTATTTTCAGTACAAGTATGGAATTTTCAGCATGGATATCGGTAGCCCAAATTTTACAGGCCGACCATAGATATCAGGTGTGCGTCGGCAGGGGGTCGAACCCCGGACCATGTGCATGGTCGGCGAGAATCCTAACCACTGTGCCACCGACGCACATATCTAGAGGATGCTAACAGAGCTTGTTGCCTCCACAATGAAACTTTGTCAGTCATCAGTTCATTATAGCTGATGCTTAAGGGTTTTTCGTTGTGAAAAACAGTGACTGCAGGTAAACAAGATGATACTGTTATTAAAACAAATTTGCGTTTGTTCAGCCAACACAAACTGACACCATGCTGTTCTCAGCGCAGGTGTCGAAGTCTTAATTATGGTTGATCGATGGAAAGCCACTAAGCGTCAACTAGTTCTATTGTGCTCAGGAGTGATTGGTCGCAAGGATGACTCACCACCTTGCTTCTATAACAAACTTTTCTGTTTATTCGTAGGTTTTAATATTTCAAGCCAATCAAAGCATTTTGTGAATTATTTAGATAATATGAAGAATGTTCTAAGTAAATTTGTAGAAAACAGTATGATATAAAACGCTCATAGTTTGCTTTACTTGTGCAATGATGTCAGACACCATTAGACTGGATTTCTTTGACTCCTTTCCCACTGTGTTTCAAATCAGTGTCCTTCAAAACCTGGTGACAGGTCTCGACAAACTCAAATTTGAAGTAGGTAGACCCACAAAGCAAAGGTGGTTAACAGAAGTTGAATCCCTAGAATAGGTATGACAGCTTACCTTTTAGTCAATATTGCTAAGCAAACGGTACCAAGTTTAGGCTGAGGCCGAGTGGATCCTAGTGGACGGTTCTGTGTGTAGTGTGCCGATGAACCAACACTTCAGAAGAAGGGAAAGATTGTGTGCTTACACTCCAGTTAAAATGAATTTAGGTGGAGTAAAGGATTAGTTCTATCAAAAGCTCCCTAGTTTACTGCTGAAGGCAAAATGACCATGTATATATGTTATAGCTGGTGATTTCAGCGCTCAAGTGGGGAAGCTGTGTCAACCAAAGAGATATATTGGCCTTACTCGCGGATTTCCATGCCGTCAAACCCTCAGCGGTGATCGTACTCTACAGTTCTGTTTAGGAAATCACCTGTACCTCATAAGCACTAACTTTAAGCATGAGGACAGACATTTTCTAACCCGGCGATCCCTATCATCATCAAATCAACAACTGACACAAGCACATCACGTAGTCAAAAGCTATCGAAGGGTATAGGACTACCACTCCTCCTTGAACATTCGTGCAGACTACTACTATTCGCTCACACATGTGCCTACTATGAACGGACATAAAAAATAGGCAACTTTGAAGTCTCTACATCTTCAACATCAATCCATGAAGTCTTTGACAGTCTGTTTGAGCCACTTTGGGTCTGCAGACTGCCCGGTTGGATACCTCGGGGATCCAGATGTATTGCATACTCATGTTTTTCCATGACAATATTCTTTATCGAGTACATTTCTGCTCATTACAATTCCTTTGATTCTGTTTTTTCTTTTATTAGTCTATCTTTGGGTGCTATATGGAATTCGGCAACTTGAACTGCTCTACCACTGTGCGAAGTTTATGTTGAAACTCTGTCAGTAATAAGACTAAAATGTACAGTTTCTTCGTACAAAGGTGAATATTATTATTCACTAGAGTCTTCAAGCATTGTATACAGTTTTCAAAAGTATGTTGGTGACGACATGAAAATTACTGTACATAAAACAAAAACATGCATTAAATTGTAGTTTAATAGAAGCCATGACAGGCTGAAGACCAAAAGCACAAATGCATTAAGATTTCAACTTTTGCTTGATATATTTTCGAACAATCGTTAGTTTCGAGATGGACAGTCTGAATCAACGATGAGAATGTAGTTGGCTACACCTGATTTCATTTATCAGCTAACTGTTGACAATGTTGAGAGATTGTGTATAATATCGGTTTATGGTTTCCGTCTTAAGTTAGCTTACCGATGATAAGGACTGTTGCGTAAATTATACAGTAGGTTCGTTAGGCGTTTTAATACTTGGTAATATATGCTAGATTAACACAACCCAGTCGGAGAAATTGGTAAACAATGGTTGAATGGACTGAGTTTTGGAAAATGGCAAGGCTGGTAAAACACATCTTACCATTATAATTCCCAAATAACGGTCAGATTGGTAAAAATCTACTACTACTATGGGTTATGCCCATTATTCACCTGTTCCTCACCATTCGTCTACAGCTAGGAGAAGCCAGGCTGCAACGCAGACACTTTTTGAAAATATAATGAAGAATTTTTGTGGCTTAAGTGGATTATTTTGAAACTCTGGGAACAACAGAGAGGCAATGCAGATGGTTTATGCAACTGTATACCACGAGGTCTGGACCTCATGACACATAAAAGATACCATGTGAACTTCAGGCACAAGCCATTAATTTAATTTGCAACAAACCGTACTGATGCTACATTCCATATGATGAAGCAGAAGTTTTGAGCTGTCCTCGAAAAAATGCCACACTCATTTACATGTAAACCAAAATAAATCAAATACATGACGGAGATATTTTAGTTTATGATTTGAAGACTAGTTCCATAATAATACGAATGATGATTAATATTAAAATTGACATTATTCTAAATCCATCACGATGCAGTTCAATATTGAGACCAACTTACAATATAAAATATACCGTACCGAACAAGTGATGACTCACAGGCAAGGTTCTACAATAGAGCTCCAAGGAATGCGAACGCACGAAGAATTTAACAACAAACACAAGCCTCGAATATATATTACCTTTTGAATTAATCCTCTGATGTTTGAACAAAGCGGGTAAATGTTTCCATGACAATAGGTACAAACGTGTCGTTGAATCATAAATGTTGTCTTGGACATCTCCACTATATTTTTTTCTTCTCAATAAAATAAACAATCGACTCAATGTTAAGCTGGTTTCTACAGAAATATTTGTTTAAATTGGTGAAACTTATACATGGAGTCATAGCAACAGCGCGTTTTTTCAAAAATATATTTTGCACTGACCTATAATATACACTTAAACTTCAACAAGTTACTTCAGTAATATACAGAAAACGATGTCTGAACTTGCCTTAGAAGATAAAAGGGCGGAGTTCATTGCAGAATATGTTTTGACTTCTCATAAACTGAAAAGTGACAAATGGATGAAACTATGGAATTCCGAAGAAATGAAGCAAAGAATCATTAATTTTTTTGAGAAATCCGACATAACCAAATTATTCATAAATTTGACAGCGGCTGGAACATTGACAGCTGAAAATGATTTTCCTGTTGGTTCAAAATCTAAGACATGTTTTTTTATGAAAAAGTCGAAAGAAACCATACCCAAAGATGGACTACTTAATAAATACATCTTTTATGGGGATCTTTCATATAGTCCTCTAGACCATTTTTCTGCATTTGTTGATGAAGTGAGTCATGATTCTCTAAAACTACTAAGTCATCTAGGTCCTTATCCCCGTGCTTTCTAACAAGAAAAATTATAGTTCTTGGCCATCAGTTGTGTACGAAGATGTTATTAAGTATGCTCATGGTCTAAAAAGACAGACCGATATTGTTGTTGGACAGTCAAAGGGGAAGACGCTTTTGCCTCTTCCGGTAGAACAAGACCGAATTAAAGAACATTTTAAAGAAGGGTAAGTAAAAATTCAATACGTCGTTTTTACTCAGTATACCCTTCTATCCATAACATCCATTTGCGAAATTGTTACAAAAATGCGGCGTGAAAATGTGTAATTTGCTGTCATATTACATTTTTTCACTAAATTGCGAGGACTACACATAAACGGAAATCAAGGTTACACAGATTCAGATTTATTGGCTGAGGATAGAAGGCTTGAATCCTATGTTAATCATTTTCTAGTAAATTTCTGTGCTTGCCCAAACCCTTCTTGAATGTATCAGTTGAGGTTGCAGACACTACTTTTTCTGGGAGTTGGTTCCAAAGGTTCATGACTCGGTGTAAGAACCAGTACTCAACAGCAATATGATTTCTTCTGGGCTTTTGAACTCTCCTGCTATGTCCTCTGAGGTGTGCCGAGCCGGTGGGAAGGGAAACAGAGAATAAGTCAGATCCGTAGTCATTATGTGAAATTTTAAGCATTCTGAATAAATCTCCTCTCTGACTACGGTATGACAAGGAGAAGAGATTTAAACTGTCTAGTCTTTCCTCATATGATAAATTAGTCATGCCGAAAATCATACGTGTTGCCTTCCTTTGGACCCTTTCCAGAATATGTGAGTCCTCTATACGACAAGGGCTGGCTTCCTGGATGCAGTTTTCCAGTCTTGACCTCACCAGAGATGTATATAAGGAGGTGAACATATCTCTGGTGATTCTAGTAAAGGCTCTGCGAAGTGCCCATGAAACTACGTGAAGCCAACGCGCAACAGTGTGCTGTAGTTTTTAATTTGTCATTTACTATGACACCTAAATCCAAATGAATCTGAACTGACGGGAGTATGTTTTCCTCTAGTTTGCAGGAGCTGATGCTTTCTTGTCCGATGCGCATGATTCCACATTTTTTTTTTGATTTACAGCTTGATTCCACACCGTATTTTCAGTACAATTGTGGAATTTTCAGCATGGATATCGGTAGCCCAGATTCAGGCCGACCATAGATATCGGGTGTGCGCCGGCAGGGGATCGAATCCCGGACCATGTGCATGGTCGGCGAGAGTCCTAACCACTGTGCTACCGACGCATTGATCGGGAGCATCCATTCTCTGGACCACTCTGACATTTTGTTGAGGTCCTCTTGCAACGTGAGCGTATCACTGTTGCCCTTCAGCTCTCTCCAATTTTTTAAGTCATCTGCGTATAGGACCATAGTGGAGTCGGTGAGCAGAGATAACTCATTGATATACAAAATAAATACGAGAGGTCTGAATACCGTTCCTTGTGGTACTCCGCTACGCTGTCCAGAAGGAGAGTTTCAAGTTGATCCTAACCCTCTGCCTCCTGTCTATGAGGAATTCCCTAAGCCAGTTTAGTAAGCTTCCTTTGATACCAAGACTTTCCAACTTCATGAGTGGGTCTTTTGTGGGGAACATTATCGTAGGCTTTGCTGAAGTCTGTGAGGACGACGTCAACGGGTATTCTGTTGTCTCTTCATTTGATCCAGCTTTCTGTTGCAATGCGAAGATTTGACAGGCATGATAGGTTTCATCGGAAGTCATGCTGTCCTCTGGATAACAAATTGTTGATTTCCAGATATGCCCTCATACTTTTCTTGATGATTCCCTCCAGTGTCTTGATTAAAGTGCTGGTATGACTAATAGGCCTTTAATTTGAATGGCTTTGTCTTTATCCTCCTTTGTGGATGGTGTCTTTCCAGTCACGCGGTAACACCCCATTTAGGAGGGATAGCTTGAAGATCGTGGACGGCTGTGTGGGCTGATAGCTCCTTGAGAAGCCTTGGATGAAGATTATCAGGACCCATTGATTTCCCTACATCTAAATCCATTAGGCACTTGAACACGATGTCTCGGTCGAAGTGAATGGAATCTATCCCGTATTTCTCCGATGCACTCACATAATAGTACACCCATTGACTGGGTATTGGTTTTCAGAAGAACCAAACACACCTATCCCTGCCTCCTGCTAGACGAGACCGGCATGCAGTATCATCCTGTGGCGCAACTACTCGAGAGACCTCTCCCTCTGAATCTGAATCTGATGTCTGGGAAAGACCTAATTAAAAGCACTGTTTCTCACTTCTGTTGTTTTAGTACTACCCAGTCGAACAAAATGGGTAATGAGTGATTAAATAGTGGTTGATATGACCAGGTAAGGTAAACATGGTAAAATAATGGGCAAAAAACCACTATGATGCAGCGAATGGTTAGAATGATTAAATTTTGGCAAAAAAATTTGGTTAAGTTATGGTCAGATGTCAATTTTAACGTTTTGAGTGCGTATAACTAAATGCTACGGATTATTGAAGTGGCATGTATTATATCTGTTGGGGAATACTATACATATATGTGCAAATGAAAATTCTCTTTAATTTTTTATTAACCGCAATATGTAACCCCATTTCATAAACCTGTTTTGTATCCGTGACAATCAGTGCATACGAACTTTACAGTTCTTATTAGGACCTAGCCATTAAAAGTTATTATTAAGTTTTACCTCCTCGTTCACTCCATGTATTAGATATCACCTGATCGGGTATGGAGTTCCAATCGTTGATCACTCGGTGATAGAATCTGAATTCCACACCTGTTGTATTCGTCCATGGTTTGGGAACCTCAAGGGTATCCTAGAAATAAGAAAAGGCTAGGAAAGTCAATCCCCAAATCATCCTGCAGTATATGAAATGTCGAAATTTAGTCGCCTCTCCTCCTTCATTGTGATTATGGGAAAAGATTTATATATTCCCTCCTCTTCTCATAAACATGATGTGAGATACAACTTAGCAATTTGGTTCCTACCCTTTGTAATCTTTCCAAGATATATGCCTCTTTCCTGAAGTGTATAATAGTTGCCTGTGTATAGTGTTCTAGATGAGGCCTCACATATGGTGCATAGAGTGCTTTAAATATAGACTCACCCAATCGTCTGAAAGCCTTTTGCAGTGCTCATAGCATTCGAAAAGCCTTATCTGCAGCTGTATTACAGTATGCAGTCCTTTTATTCTATTTGTCAAGTTATTACGCGTTCTGATTTACCTAATGTTCATATTTGCGTTTCACCGCAGCTGATGAGGCCAATCTGTTGTAAAGACCTCCAATCAAACCATTCATGTATTGTACATAACACTTCATGACATACATGTATTAGTTCGTCTATCCCTTCTTTTTTCTCAGGTAATTTGCCCCAACCCATACGTGCTTTTGAATATTACCTCATTTTCAGTAATATTATTATTTACAGTAAATAATATTGTCTCACTGTACAATCTATCCAATAAACAAATTGATATGTCGAAATTTTGTTTTCACAGTAAAGTAAATCGAAGTTTTGTCTATGCAATCGAATCACTCGTTATTGACTGGTCTCATCAAATTCACAAAGTATTGCTCAAAGACTCTTCTCAACCTCTTTTAAATGGTTTGCATCCCACTCCGTTGGTGGAATTGGACTTCTGGAAAGCAAAAGTAACAAATCTTGAAAACATCTACTCCCAGCTAAGTACACAGAAAGTTAAACAAATGGCACAGATACTGGAACAAGCCAACAGCAGTTACTTTATTCCATTTAAAGAAATGTTTAAATCTGTTGTAACAGGTGAGTAGTTTTTTTATCTAATCTGTAGCAGTGTAACTTGACTTTGTATAACAGACTGATTACTTAACATTTACTTTAGCCCAAGATTTGAGTAAATAGGTAAGATTTCTCTAGTTAACTAAGTTTTTCTTGAAATATCGACTTTTCAGTTTTTTGTTTCGTTTTTTTGTTTGCTGTAACCTATTTTATGTATCTAATTGGTGGATGGTGACTAGCAGTGGAATCCAGGATGCGCATTTCGTCCTATTTTATGTATCATTTTGCACATTTCAGCAACTCGTCAATTTCAAGAACCAGTGGCTACTAGCTACAGATCCCCTATCAGTCTACTCTAACTTCATCAGGAAGTAAAGTGCTTTCTTCATCCGATAAATTATCTTTAAACAAAGATTTACACTAATCTATGCTTAGAGCTTGGAAGGCAGTCAACACAAAAAGAACTCCACTACTATTTCTGAGTTAACTTGGCATTAACTTGTGCAGTTTTGATTACTATGTGTACAAATATACAGTGAACATGATCTATGTGGATTGATTATAATTTAAAATTATTTAATCACTTTTTAAACTCTTTGCTGGAGTGAAGGAAAATAATCTTTTTTGATTTACGAATGTTAACTTCAAAATCAACTTGATAAGCTGCATGAAGTGTTCTTGAGTCCTGCCCCATTGAAAAACGCGACAACAAAAGGTGCAGTCACGTAACGAATCTACTGCGTTTAGCTTTTAATATTCAGATGTATTAGGTAGGGCACCATCTGCCTTGTGGACCCACTATGTGAACTACAGTTGCTTTGCTATAAGAGCAGTTACAGTGAGAAATACTGCCAAATGGGTTACAACTTTAAATCTTCATTTTAACATTCCAATGAGTGAATTCACTTGTTAAAATAACTAGCTATTAAAACTATAATATATTTATTATTATTTTTAATTCACGTAAATATTTTGGTGTTGAGTGTTTATAGTCAGTTATTATGTGGCATAGAACTTAGGCTTTCTATTTATCCACATCTATAATCCAAAGCAAACTTGTCTTTTAGAGATGCAAACTTATGTCACTCAGTACTAGGAACAGATATTTAGAGCCTGGCAGTATTGAAGTTCACGGATAGTAAGAAGTATATTAACGCAAGATCTAATACCCATAACTTCTATAGTATTCTTTCCGCGTAGACCAAAGGCAAAGCAAAACACAAGAGTTGATCGTCCAAATTACGAGATATACTTCGGGACCAAATTGGAGTGCGAGATGATTGCTTAGCTAGCTAGGGATCGCGCACGAACGAACGAACGAACGTGACACTACGGAGTATCAAATGGCGTGGATGCTTGACCGGAAGCCTTCAGCTAAACAAGTCGACTTTAGCAATGAGAGTCAGCATCCAATATTCAGTGATGAGTGCTGTGGCCAATAATTTTGGGGGAATTATTCACCGCTACAGATACTTTACCAATACATTTTTGAAGTCGTAGTTGATTGTGATTAAAGTGAATGAAGCTCACAAGAAAGCCAACAGTTCATAACCAGTAGAGCCCTGTATTCCTGAGTTGTGTCCTTAATATGTTAAATAAGAATACAAGGCGTTACAAAGCTGATTGACATGGAGGATTGTAGCATAGCACTGCACCCTTGCTTTGGTGCTTAGTGCTATGAGCTAGTTCGTAGAAAACCTGATATAGGTCCAAACATTGAAAATAATTTGGGTCGTAGAAAAGGATTTAACACTGAATTATTGTTATTAGTTGGTTGGAGGCAATTGCCAGGAATCATAGGACCTAGATTTCGTGCCTACCAGTCAGCAAGGCGTATGTGCAACCTTGAAGGAACTCGAACGCGTGTAATCTAATAACAAAAGTTTGGAGTGCACCGTAGTGTTGAGTGACCTAGAATGGTGGCCACACTGCACACTTGACTGATAGAATTCAGTCTGCACCGACACAAAGGACTAGACACATGACACTAGTTACTAGTGTCCAACCAAAGAGTTTAACTCCATCTAGTTGGCAAGTAAGGTGTGTCAGTCGATGGAGATTACAGAGACATGAATTAGCATTGCTGCGTTACCAATTTCGTGCATGTTTCAATTCAGTTTAAAAGATACCTCCAACCACGAGGTTTATAAAATAGCTCAAATTGATGAGAATAGCATAAATCTACTCTTTCCGTTGTTTGTACTGTACAAAAGATCTGTAAAACACAATGATTAACTTAAATGTCTTATTTATTTTTCATATAATATTATGCCATATAAAATTGTTTCCAAGCAAGATGGATTGTTTGTCAACTCAATGAATAATACTGAATAGAACCGCTGTCTTTCATGATACTGTGTACCTTTAATGAACGAAAATTTTAATCTTATGTCATTTCAGCTTTACGAGAAGCCCAAGATATTGACATGCATTTAAGTATTATGCGTACTCAGCTGGAAGATATGGAGCAGGCTGAATTCGATCAACTGTCACAACATATTGAACCTATTTTTCATATTATTTGTTTAATATGGGCAAGTTCTAAAGGCTATCGACAGCCTGCAAGAATACTGGTTCTTTTGCAAGAATTGTGTAATCTTATGATTAATCAAGTAAGACTATTGATAATTAAGAGAACTTTAGACTTTTCCTCTTTTCTGTCCAATTTTATGTTCAAATAAATTAAAAAATGAGCTGCCCTTAATTGCTATTTTATCTCTTTCGAAGGGCTATAAGCTTTGGAGTTTATCTGAATGAACTATACATACTAATATGGAGGTCGTCTTGTAAAAATAGGAAGGCAAGACACGGAAGCCAAATTATATTACATTAGTCACACCACTGTTTATAATAGATCTACAGTTTATATACGTTAACCAATCACTTAGCGTGTCATTTCCGTTTACATCAAACGACATGATCAAATATACATAGTATTTTGTTGTTAATGCAGTATATAACCGTGGTAAAGGTATTCGTATTCTTTTGCTAATTCAGTCTTGAACTGTGGGAATAACATTCCGACTCTAACATCAAATTGAATGTTCAAATATATATATATTGTATTCTGTTGCTATTGCTGACTTGAACTGTGGGAATATGTGAGAATCATGTTCCGTTGGCACACATTGTTTGTATCACACCACCACACTCTAATCTCAGAACAACAGAGACTCGTCGTATTATAATATGTTGTATATTTTAAGATATATGTGGCACATTCTACATCACTGTGCAAGTCAATACATAATGATAATCCTCTAGTATAAAGTCTGAATTTCTTTATACTACCTAAAATCGCTGAGTCACATAAGATCCATTTCAGACGTTTGGATAACTATTTAGCTCTCAATATGACGCAAGTCATTTTTACGTAATTAAATCCTTATCGGTCAGGTAGCAGACAGTATTAACAGAAGTTTTGTAATCATTCAAACCTGGCATTTTAGAACAGTGTTCATGACTATAAATTTCATCATTTCTGTATATTTGGTTCTAAAATCAAAAGACTTTTTCTTAATATGCTGTCGAAACATTTGATTCCACTTTAACATTAACTAATGATGGAAAATTGATAGAAAAAGAACAGGTACACATTTGGACTTTACATTCAAAGAAACTTTCATGACTGGTGCTTAAAGGACAAAATAAAACTGTTCAACTTATCAAAATACATCTTGCTGTAAACAAAGAGGCGGTATGTTGATTTTATGCAACAATTTAGCTCCTGCTTCACATCTGTTTGAACCTTCCATCTGTGTACGTAAACACTGATTTCACAATGAGACATGATAATGGCGGTAAATTCAACCTTTCAAACTGAAACAAGTTGTTCATTACGGATATAATTCAATACTCACTAATTTGTTATACTGTGGATGATACAGAATAGTATATTCGGTAGTGTATAATAACTGCCGCTAATCTACATCACCACCTAAGTCGAGAGAAAATAGCAAAGGACTTGTTTTAGATTGCTTGAAAAAAATATCCAATGCAGTCCTACAGGAGGTCAATCGCGAGCCTGAATAGGTCAGTGGTAACGTCTCCGTCGGACTGCAGCACTGGGTGACGCGGGTTCAAATGTCATAAGGGACATGAGTTCCTTTGAGATTACAGATAGGCAGTACTGATGAGTGTCAACTAGCTTAAAACCTAGGTCCAAAGCTTCCTGCCAATCGCATCCAACAACCGAATATCAACAACATATTGATCAGCCTAAAATCTGAAAACTTGGTAGACAAAAGCGTTAAGCTAATGCTCTGTAGCCAATCAGAATAACTGGTAGAAAAAACAGCATTAATCTTAAACGTTTATCGGAAACGTAATTCCTCTGGTCAAAATGTATATATTGTTAGCTTTCCACTAATCTGAGAACTTATCTCCCCCACTGTTTACTTATCCAGTTACTAATCCACTTGATATCATACTTTCGATTCCCACTTAACTTGCATTTTAGATACCATGACGTCTCCTTATTTTGATTTACATCAGTATCCTAAGCTCTACTCCCTCTATTTCACTACATTCCATTTTTCGATTGCTGTCTAATCGTCTTATAATCTACAGGACGTCTCTTCATGATCTCCAAGGTGTGCATATCGCTAACCCTAGCAACATTCAAATCACTAGAATTTTAAGTTAACTTATAAGTTTCACCTTATTTCAGACAGTCATTCCAATCCAGCGTGAAATTATTCTAATATTCTGTACTCGTCCATTGACTTCATGCAAATTAACCAATGTATGTTCTTACATAATGTAATTAATGTAATTTGATGTAGTATTGTCAGATTATTTGGAGTTCTAAAGCATCAACAAAATTAAATCTATTTGTTTTATAGTTATCCAATGTATGTTTTTTCTTCTTGAGGTTTGTTAAGAAGATTTTCTAATTGATACCAAAATGGAGAGAATTAATGCTAACATCAACACATTATACCACTAGCCTATCACCTCTTTATTTACTGGTCAGTTTGATAAATCATGCTAACCATCTGAGGACTTATTAACTGTAATCTCCACTGACAAGTGAGATATGAAAGTGCTGCTCCCACTTAGTAGAAATCAGAAAGCCATTTAAGTAGACCTGATCTTAAAGATGCCTCCTATCACCAATGATGTTCCTAACTGTGGTGGACTACATCATGAAGTAGACTCTGAGAAACGAAAAGACAGGCGTATGTTGAAGTGACAAAAAGATTCTTCAAGATATAGACTTTGTGGATGATTTATGTTTAATTGTTATGTCTGAACGGAACTGCCCCGCCGCCAATTTGTTATAACTGAATTGAACTGAATAAATCCGTTGCCACTTTGTTATATCTGCGCATGCTAATTGTTATAACGGTAATGAACTCGACTGATACGCTAATACGGCTATTTGTCCGTTGCTCCTTCCGATTCACTGAGCCACGCAAATATGAAAAGACAAAGGCTGTCCTTTGACTGTAAGACATTATACTGTACATCTGTTAGGAAACAAAACATCATATTTATGTATTTAATCTATCACAATACAGTTGGTTGGAAATTTCTATTCTGATTGGTTGGTTATCCGACAAAGACCAAGGTGAGACAAAAGACCATGAATTGATCACACATTAAATCACAATATCCGTGAGAAGTTATACATTCACATTGTTACTCCATCACAGGATAAATCACACGATCGGTGAGAAAAGATGATATACTATTTTATTTTTTATGTCACACAAACTTGAAGATGTACAAGCGAAAGCTACAAATTTAGCAGAAAAGGAAACAAAGACAATACATTAAGTGAACACGGAAAAGACAGAGCTGATAAAGTTACCCCACGAACCAGGATCAGTAGGATTCATCTCTTTCACTTACTTACCTGGGCATCATTGTTGTAACTGCAGTCAAGAGGAACGGTCAGGGTATCAAAGCCCCAGCCCAACCATAATTGTATGGGGAGATCAAGACAGGCTTTCGTTACTCTGAATTCAGTATGAAGATCTATAGCCCTCCTCCTCCGCCTTTACAATAATTTTATTTTGTTGTTCTTTTCATTCTCATTAGTGTCGAACCCATTTAGATCCCTACGAAATACTGAAAGGTGAAGCAGAGGAAATTTATCCAAAAGTGGAAGAAGCACTGAAAGTTCTGCATAAATTTAAAAGCACATACGAACAACATCGTCAAAATTTACCAGCATATTTTGAAAAAGTTGCCAAAAAATTAAACACTTCAAATGAAATAGTTTTATGGGAATTTAAAAATGAATTAGCATTTAGTCGTTTTGATTCGTTTGTTCAACGGGTTGAAGAAGTTCATGTAAGTAATCTTTCTACACCATGTTGCATTTTTTGTATTTTAAGTATTGGTTTTGTAGGGATTGAGTTTAATTGATTGGTGGATTTCGTCATGGGCTGACATCAGTTAGATACCATTGAAAAATCACCTGGGAGTACTGGATATATGTTTCGTCCCCGTTTGGGACTCTTCATCAGTGCTCAACCTCCGGGGTTCGAAACCCAGGACCTTCTGGTTACAAGGCGAGCTCGTAGACAATTCATCAGCCACTGAGACCCGATCCAATGGCCCATGAATTCTAATTTCTTTCTAACTTTTTTGATTGAAACAACCATTGCCATATTTGTATTGGTTCGCGTTAAATGTTCAATTTGTAATAAAATATATTCAAGTACTACTTCCCCTTCGAATAAAATAAAAAATTAGAAACTTCCTTTTCGTAGGATTAATACATAAATATTATAAAGCCTATTAAGTAATTTTGATAATTTTCTGTTGAAAATATTCTGTGTTGAAGAAATTTAGCGAGTTGAAAACATAAATGCCTGAGAGGAAAAGAATATGAGTTTGAAATTTGCTACTAGTCTTTTCAGTTCAGTAGTATTGTTTAATACTCAAAATCCACTTCATTAGTAGCATTTATTATTAGATAATATGAATTAATTTATCTAAAGTATCCTTTGAAACAAGTGTGAAGCTCAATAAATCTGTAGTCAAATGGAAATTGATGCAATTTGCAAGTTTTTTATTGTAATATCAGTTTGTCTAGAGTAGAATTATTATACAAAGCGCCACTAAACAGTAGGAGATCCAAAGATATGTCAAAACTCCATGTTTATGCGAAATATAGATTTTCTGTGATATGATTGATTCATAAAAATGATTGAATTCCAGTTCAATGTGTGAGTGGGACAATCTTAACCTTTTTTTTCAAAACCATACATCGTTGCCCATCTGTTTTTTTCCCACATGGACACAATAATTCAGCCTGTCTTCATCCCTTTAGTTCCGCAATCCTTGTCAGTGAAATATGCAACAGTTTTTAGCCCCATGCTACTGTCCAGAATTAGATATATTGTTTCTTTAATCTCCAGTGTTAGATTTCGGCACAAACCAAAATGAGTTAGAGAGATCATTGGAAACCATGTCAAAGTAAAGTGAATACTCGTCGAAGGCATTGGCGAGGGTAGCGTCATATATCGAATTGATGAATTCCTGGATTTCGATTCAAGTGGCTGAATGGTGAACAAGCTTCATCTCGTAATCTCAAAGTCATGTATTCAACCGCTGATGGCTTCGTGGATGTACACTACTGAAGAGCCACAGTGTAGGACGAAACAGCTCTCTCCAGCGCAGCCTGGTCTTTAATGATCTCTCTGTAACTGATGTTAGTTATTGACGAAATGTAACAGTGGACATTAAGTGAATTGCAATCCTGACAAGTCTCACAATCTAAATTTTATTTTTTTTTATCTGAATTCTTACATCACCTTAAATTATTTCCCTGGCTGAAAGTACTTCGGACGCTGGATTAGACATTAATTTTCATAAGGATAGCATAACTTATCTTTAACTGTTTGTTATCTAGTAGCTAGTATAAGATAGATCTTTATGATATGCCTTCAAACGACTTTACATTTCACATCTACTCTGCATTTACGCTATTTAATTAAAGCGAACCACCGTCGAAACACAGTAGGTCTTTAAATTATCCTTAATGTGCAATAATATTAGTTTAAGATCAAAACACATAAAATGACAAAAAGTAATATGGCAGATAAGATGTATCGCTTTTTCAATTAGTTCATTGTTTGATTACCCCTCTCAGTTTACTTGTCCTCTTTCCTTTTGTGTGTGTGTAATTTTCCATGCTACAGCATCTAATGGTAACAGCTATTGAATTTTTGAAATTGGAGAAACTAGTATTCGGTGGGATTGATGGTGGTTCATTGAATCAACGTGTCACTGAAATCTACGAATCATTCTGTAATAGTTATAAGGTAAGCATAATATGATGTTAACACACAGACAGACAATTCTTTACGTTGACTTAGTTTAGTTTTTCTATATATAAACTAATGATTCCAATGGTTATATATAGATGATAATAACATATTTTAATGTTTAAGTGGTAGTAGGAAAGAGATACTATAAAAGTGACTCATCCAAAATGAAAGCATTACAATTATTAGTTTAAGTTTTCATCATCAATTTGTACGCTTTCAGTGTAGAAAAGAGGGGGAGGGAGAGGTAAGACAGAAAACAGGAAAAAATTGACAAACAGTGTTAGCTTGTGAGTTCACATAGCAACTCAAATAACAAAAACAATTACAGTTTATAAGACTGAGATTTGTTTTTTTTTGTTGTTATTATTTGTTGTTATTTGAGTTGAGATCACTGAATTACATGACTAATTAATGTAATCAAAACCAAAATTCAGTTACCAAGGTGAGTGAGAGGTAAATCACACTCTCTTTCTGTATGCATAAGTCTGGTTTGAGTGGTTTGATAGCGACCGCTTCGGCAAATCGTAGTAAATTTACTGTCCTTTGTCTATTTAATATTTTGAAGGACTTAGAAATCTCTACGAGATGTCCGGTATCAACAATGTGTCTGGTAATTGCACTGTGAGAATATTTGCTTCCTTTCAGGCACAAGTTTCTCAGATAAGCCAAAAATTGTAATGCTTACATTTTGGATACGCCAATTTTATAGTATTTCTTCTCTACTACCACTTAAACATTAAAGAATGCTATTATCATCTATGTAACCATTGTAATTTCAGGTAGTCTGCAGCTGATGAGAACCTGTGAAGTAGAATGATATCATTTTATACTGCAAATCTGGTCTTTCTTTCTCTATCGAAATCTATCAAGGGAACCAAATGTATAAAATTAATAAACTAATGATTAGTTTAGTATAGGTAGAGAAGCAAATGGTGATCATGCTGGATCCAAGATATATTGTTCCCTATACTCCTTCACAAGATATATCAGCAATTTCATGGAAGTGGCTAGATCTCTTCGAGATAGTTATCTGAGTTTAGTTCAGGCAGTATGAGTAAAACAGGTTTCATGCCTCCACTTAATAATCATTAAAGTTCAGATTTACTTAATATTCCTTAACAAGTACTGAGGATATGAAGGTTCAAATGCTAAATAAATCACGGTGAGAAAAAAGCCCAACAAACGGTCTAACTGTCTGCTATCTTCAGCTTGTGTGTGAATTGGGATATTACTTAATTAGCATTGGTCGACAATCTGTTTTAAAGAGTCAGGAGAATATATTCTGATCTTCAAAAAGATGTTGAAAAACAGCGGTTACCTTTGCAATTTAATTAACAAGTACGGAAGGTGTGAAGGCTCAAATGCTGAATAAATTACATTGAGAAAAATACATTCAACTGTATTTTAAAGGTGGCAGTATTTCAGAAATAGTAGACCAGAGCCTATCATGCAGATAAGTTGCTTCCCGTTTATCGGACAACATACTAGTTGGTTCAGTCAAAAGTCAACAAATAACCTTCTCATGTTAACTCTAACTGTGTGTGTCTGCAGTGACATTTATTTTGGGACAAAAAAGACTTCGCCTCAAGTGAACAAATGCTTATAACAGCGCCAGTGACGGATATCTCATCAACACGTATCATCGCGAAATCCTTTAAAGTTATGAACAGATAGAACGGTTCAATTCTCCTCAAGTCTGCCAAAGCAATCTCCATCAAACGACTGAAACCCGATTTGTGTGTTGAGAAAGAAGCAATGATAATCAGTCTTTCCTTGTCCTGTTTGGTAATTGGATGTCTTTATTCAATCTCTTTCATTTGATTACGTAGTCTCCAGCTTTAACCTTTCTCCTTTCTACATAGTGTGACTCTGCTTGGCTCTTATTTCTATGATTTCAGTTGAACTCATTATACTGTTACTCAGATTATTATTTATTCATCATCTTACTAACCTCTTGTCTTTATTGCATTGCCCCTCTACCATGGTATCTAAGCCTTTACTTTTTTGTCTGAACTTGTACTTCCTGGGTGTAGACTGTATGAGCGTAATTTCCGAGCATTGTTTATTAAGTTTGGAGTCTCCTATCAACTGACATCATGTAACACTGGCAGCTGTGTTAAAATTGTTGTGTACGTAAGCCTGATAATTTCTTTAGTCTGTATGCAGATGACGAGAAGCCGACGAAATAAATGATGGTACTATTTTAATCTGCACAAACCGCTGTTTTTCTTGCTTTATTTATATTCATTATTATTAACACCAATAGTTCGTATGAGCCTTTTGTTATATTCCGTCATATATATATATATATTTCATCCAACCTCTCACGTGGTCTACGAGTAAAATTTTTATATACAACAGAAGCAATCGGAGTACATCTGAACAAACCAAATCTGTACGTTGGTTCAAAAGAAATTTGTACAGTCGCTTTCTTTGCCATCGCCAACTACGTAATATCTATTCATATTAGATGGTTGAAGGCAATCTGCAGGAAGTCTTGCTCAACCTAGGTTTCGTACTAGTTGGCACTCATCAGTCAGCAAAGCATATCTGCAACCTTGGAGAAATTCATATCCTTTCTGAGATTCAAACCCGCACCACCCAGTGCTGCAGTCATAAGCGTGACGGCGAGCCAACTGGAATGGTGGCCACACTTCAGACTTGACTAACAAAATTCATTGCCCTTGTAACTACCTTTCGACCTAATTATTTTTACAATTCCAGCAAATTTCACTAAGTTGTTTGTACTTCACGTAACTCTTCTGAGTCATCCTATTCTTCTAAGTCGTCATTATTTTGCAGATTTCTTGATTATGTAATAACTTGTTTGCTAACGCCTATGAATTAACTTATATGGAATTCCGTAATTAATTTTCACCCCTATTCCAAAACTTAGATATCTTGTTAATAACATCTATTAGTTAATTGATGTTTTGAAAACTTTTAACCTCTTAATTTCACTCAACAACCTCAATATCTAAAATGGGTTAACTCAAATAACCACCTGACTGGTAAAAAATTTCGATGCAAAAACCAACTATATATAATAGTGTGAAGTCAGCCTATAATGAGGAACTAAGTGAAAATTGTTGTTGTTATTATTATTATACACCTAAACATCCAAAATATTAGGTGTTATTGTAACCCCTATCGTTAAAATAAAAACAATTAATAACTATTAATAACACCTAAATGACCTTAAACGAAACATTGGAATAATTTCATAATTTCATAAGGCTTTAAGGCTTTTCTCTAAAAAAAATAAGTGTTAAGTACGAATTGAATTGAAGAGGCCGCTGTCAACAAAACGGTTACTATGGCAAAGTGACTATTAATCCAACAGAAATTTTTAAATACTTGGCAAATATTTATCTCACTGGTATAAACTGTTTCTGATCTTGCTCTTTTTTTTTGAAAGCATGAAAATACTTTAATAATAAACGAAGTCACATCATGCCTAGTTAGGTTTTTCCCTTAAGGTATCTAGCTGTCCTATAACTTTCCTGGTAAATGTGTTTTGTATGGTAAATGATACACTTCTCTGTAAAATTTTAACGACTACAATGTCTAAATAAACATCATAAGCTACAGGGAATTTCCGTTCACCAGACAAGTCGTTTAGGATACTGGTACTCTCATCTACGTCTACATCTTGATGCAATAAATAGTTTTTATTGCGTCCATCAATATGACAATAATTTCCATTTTAGCATGACTGTATAAGAAACATATTTTAAAGTCGAGAACACCGAGTGAAGTTCTGTTTTCATTCCTTTTTTTCACAGAAATGTTTACATTCTGCATATAATTATAATATTCAGTTGGTTGTGTTATCCCTCACATTATGTAGCTTGTATACTTGTGTTGTGAATAAGCGGTCTCGCCGACTACATTACTCTTTATCTTCTCTGTTGTCGTTTAGATGTTTAATGACAGGTCGTATGATGTCTTGGATCCTTTGAATGAAGAGTTTTGCAAGGATTTTGAATTATTTAATCAAAGTGTACGCGATTTAGAATATCGTCTGTCCAATGTAATTGAACATGCAGTAGATGGTTGTCCTGCTATAGAACATTTACTTAAGGTAAATTTTTCAATTACACTTTAAATTTATTGTAGCATTTATCTTAAGGAAATAATAAACATTCAACTGTTAAGGGAATATAGATAAGCGGCAAATCAGTTTTAGTCCGATTGTTAGAACCGGATAACTGAGTAATTTAGAAAATAGTCAAGTAACCGAAGTTGACTACTATATCCTCTGTAGACAAGCACACTGATGTCTCGTACATGTTTGAGGCTCCTCAACAGATGAAAAAAGTTAACAAGTCTCGGGTAAAAACGGTGTGCATTTGACTCAGTCTCTTCACCCAATTAGAACCAAATCACTGATTTCGCTCAAGAAGAGCGTTAGACGTACATTAACGATAACGATTATGTTTTAACGCTTTACTTCAAAATATGCTTTTAAATAAATAGCTTCTTTACCTTCTACACGCTGGAGAAGAAGACATGATATGTACATATATATATATATATATATCATTTATTTCCTAATGCTGGCTATCCATTAAATATATTGGCATCCCAAGTATCAGTCGTGAACTTAACTGTTTACCAGAAGAGAGAGATTATTTGGTTTTATTTAATTAGTGGCTGATTAAATGGCAATCAAGAGATTTTCAAAAGTTAATTTGTGAGGATTTGACCACGAGGTAACATCAGTAAAAGAACCAATGAAAACCGGTAGTGAGTAGTGCACAGCTAATTCTGTTGTCCTACTTTGGGACTCATTGGCAGTTCGTACCCACCTCCAGGTTTCGAACCCAGGACCTTCTAGAGAACTAATCTGATTCTTGTTAGGCACTGACTACAGGATTAAGTTGCCTGGAAGGAGTTACAGTGAGAAGTCGTAGCCAGTGGGTTACACCCGGTCGGGAGTTAGGACAAATAGTCGCCTTTGACATTAGATGATGGTCACGCCAACATCAGAAATCGGTAGAAGTTTGAATTCATGGGCTGGTCACTGGATCGGGTCTCAGTGGGTAGACGGTCTACGAGCTCATCTGCCTTGTAACCGGAAGGTCCTTGGTTTAAACCCTGGAAGCTGATGCTTACTACCGATAAGTCCCAGACTTGAACGAAACATCTGTCCAGTACTCCCTGATTTTCAATAGTTCTTCAGATGACATCAGTTCGTGGTTGAACTGAAAACAAATCAAGTGACTGTTTGTCAGGTTGAGTTTCAAATCAACATAAAGGACCATGAGAAAAGGAAGCAGAACCAGTCTAATGTGAATGTTCGGAGTAAAACCTGACATTTGCGTAATTCTATAGTACCAACATCAACCAATTTTACCGAATAAATCGAATTTATAAAACCTTTAGTTTACCATTTTCTGTAAAATCTAAAACACTGAGTGTTTCTACACTTCCACTTTAAGTCTCATCGATATAGGTGATTTTGGATAAAAATAATATCTTTTCTGGGCCTAAAAGGTGTGGCTAGACTATTCTCACTAAACTAGCCTATAAGATTAGAAGTTATTTGGTGGATGGTGACTAGCAGTGGAATCCGGGATGCGCGTTTCGTCCGATTTGGGACTCGTCTTCTGGATGTACCTGCATTCCGCAGTGAGTGATGATGTTGCCATCGTCGAAGCATCTGCACAATAAGCGACGGAAAAATCTAAAATTGGATTAAGCCTATAAGATTGTAGCACCAATTGTGTTGTTCACTAGCCTTTCTATCGAAGTATCATCTCTTCACTTTCTTTTGTTATAGATAAACTCAAATTTTACCTTGTAAATAATCTACCTATTTTAGCTCATTAGTATCCTGCACAGTCTGCTGGATAGACCAATAATTAAAGAGAGTTTTCAACCCAAATATAAACTGTTAATGCAAATGTTAAATGCTGAAATGGATGTAGCAAAGAAAATTTATGATCATCATATGATGGGTGAGAAACTCCGGCATGAAAGTGAGCAGTAGTAATAGTCTTTCTGATAATATACCTCTTTTTTCTAAACTTTTAACCTACTGTATAGCTTTATACTCTAAGGTAATGTAAAAAGAAAATACTTTTGCAACAAAACCAGAAAGAAATCTAGGCTCAAGAGGATAATCTCAGTAGTATCGCTTTTCTGATGCTTACATTTTAACTACTATTACGATTTCACTTTCTGATCATCCGTTTTTCTCCTCAATGATTTAAAGGTATTCTTATAATCATTAATCGTTGCAATTTATTATGCTACGAAGGACATCCGCTTGAACAGACGAAAATTTCCCATAGGTCTAACGTGGTTTACTTCTGTAAGTCTTCACTGTAACTGATGATCCCACGTGCCTACTTCGGCTACAAACGTAACTGTCATAAAATGAACATCTCATAAGCCTATGTGCTCTACTCACAACACTTCTCATATTTCATATTAAATATTACAACAAGAATGTTGTCCGTTTTAGAACCTCTTTATGTGAAAGTTTAATCAAGGACTTATTAATCTTATTCAGATACAGGCGGTCTGCTTAAATCATTGGCCTGCCTATATTTTTATTCAGTATAGTGATTCACAGACTCTCCCCTATTTCTTATTGTTTTAATGATCTAACTGTGTTTTTGGATCGTTACATGAACGTGTACACAGTTTTATTTTGTTGTAATACAGAGCACTATTTAACAGAGCAGAAACGAGGGAAAAAAATATCGTGGAGGTTTATATATTACATCACACAGTGTACTGCCGAATACCATTTTACTTGAAGATCCCGTAAGAAGAGTAGATATTTTACTATACGCTGAAAATTCTGTGCTGAAATACTGGAGATGTGGTTCGAGTCTGACTGACTAAAGTAGTATCATCAGTCTTCAGACAGTAAGTATGACTCATAACCCAACACTAGCTGACTAATCATGAAATAAGTTCACTAGCAAAGAAACCCTTAAAGATGGGTACATGCTAATTCCAAGCTCGTAAATGGTATTGATTAACAGTGGTTAGGACTCTCGCAGAGGTCCGGGGTTCAATCCCCTGCTGACGCACACCTGATATCTATGGTTGGCCTGCAAAATTTGAGCTACCGATATTACATGCTGAAAATTCCATACCTCTAACAAAAAAGCGGTATGGAATCAAGCTGTAATCAAAAATAAAAAAAATAAATGGAGGTTTACAGACTGATTGCGTTCCAGAAATTCACTCCTGTTCCACGACTTTCGATAAGGCGATCAGGATACCATGTGCAGGAAGTGGTGAAATTTATTCCACTTCATTCTAACTTCACGCAGATCTGTCTACACCCTAAATATATTATCATACTGATAGATTTGCGTATCTCATATAAGCTGGTCTTTGAATTTGGAAATTAAACAATTGAGAAAATCTTAAGTGCTCAAAGTAAAGAGGCTCGAAGTTATACCACTTAATTAAACTATAATGACAAATTATCAGTGAATGTTATCAGTCCAAATGAATATATAGTAAAGAAGCCACTTGAAATATATTTCGACAAAGTAATAAAAACCCCAAACTGACATCATTTAGGCAATCGCTAAAATCCAGGGAACACCGGATGACCGTTTCGTCCTACCTTGGAACTCTTCAACATTACTCACGCTTGATCCAAAAGTGGATCGAACTCGGGACCTGGAAATCGATGCTTCTCTAAGTGATGTCACTTTCTGGTATAACTTTGGAAATCGTTTGCGGTTAATTTTACCAATATATATATATATATATATATATATATATATATATATATATATAGTGCGTCGGTGGTTCCGTGATATAACTCTCACCAACCACGCCTCACGTGGTCTGGAAATCGATCGTCTGCCAACAGTCTCCTTAATCTCGCTAGGCCGTTAGTAAGTTTCATAAAGAGAGAAGGTTGGACATGAACTATTAACCTCACCCTGTAAAAATAAAACCACTGCTACCGAAACTTCAGGGCTCTATTTTGAAGCCCTACGTTCCGTTATGTACATAAAGGAATAAAATAAATTATATACATATACATATATATGTACCATATAATTAAGGTTTAAGGTAAAAAATGTCGAATAAAACAAGTAATTTGTCAGGTAGAAACGAATTACTTAAGCAAAGAATAATTTCTTGTAGGTCATTAATTTGCGTTGCCTGTGACAGTACCATTTTTGCTTGTTTCACTGCATAAAATATGTATAAAACTAGAAACCTAAGAAATTCTTTCAAGACAAGTTATTTTAAGCTAGCTAAAAGGCATAAGATATCCGATTTGTATCCATCTGATTAACCTCACTGTCTATTTCTTTAAGCACTGAGATCAGTTTAGAGGACCACGGATAGATAGATAGCTCCTGTGTTACAATGTAAAAATCCGGTTATCCGGTAAAGTTAGAATTGGCTTAGACAAAAAGTAATGTCTTTTGTATTCAAGTAATGGTTTGTAGGGTTCGAACCCCGATGAGTATGTACTGGTTAATAGACCCAAACTGTTCAGTACTCCCAGGTTCTCCAATGATTCTCTAACCGATATCAGCTCATGATCAAATCCTATAACTGATATTTTTTGATCGGTCACCAGGTAGTAACCAGCATCATATGTCTAGTCTTTGAGACGGTGGAGACTACCAGTCGAGTTCATGATGTGATCACTATGCTAGGTCAATCACCAACCCAATGACCAGACACATGACAGTTACTACATAGTGTCTAATGAAAGTATCCACTACAGTCCTAGAGGAAGTCAATTGCGAGCCCGAAGAGCTCAGCAGTAACGTCTCTGACTGAAGCACTCGGAGACCGGAATTCTAATCTCAGAGGTCACAGATACTCCTCGCTGATGAGTGCCAACAAGCGCGAAACCTAGGTCTGTGGACTGCCCCCAACTACCTAACATCAGATCCATCATGTGTAGGAGTTAGGTTTACATGGTATCGTCCAAAATATCAAAATTAAGCTGACTGGACAAAATTTTGTGACTAATCGTGTTAGCACATACATACTATATCCGACCTGTTTCTCATCATTGTATGACATTTATCATGAATATAAACCATTTTTAAAGTGTAAATAAGTGTCTTTTTACGTGTTGACATGGAAACAAATTCTAGTGAATACCTCTGTTTGTTAACAGGCTCAGTCCTACCAACTCATAATAACAACAAATCACCTACAAGTCCAGAGAGTAGTGAAGAAAAAGAAACAGGCTCCACAAAACCTGGTCTGTACAGAAAGCAACGCACTTACTATTCAGAGATTCATAAAAATATGCCCAGATTATCAGGGAATTTAAAGTGGGCTAATGACCTGAAAAGTCGTATTACATCACCAATGGAAATGATTAATCAGTTAGATTTACCGTAAGTATTTTCTTTTCATTAAATACATTAATTTAGGTTGAATTACATGCTGTTATAATTAAGATTAACTGAAGCTCTTTTGCAGGTACTTATACCCTAAATATCAGATAAGTAATAACAGCCATATATCTGTAAAACTCATGTGCGTGTGTTCGCTTTTTATGATTTAAAGCAGGGTATATTTTTCACACTAGATAATTTTATTTTAGATATCATACAAGGATGCGGTATTAATAGCTGGATGGCGTTTCGAACAATTGGCAACATAAAGCTCTTAGAACGCTTAATCCTCATCCCAAGGACACACTTACTGTGTTGAAATCTAAACATATCCCTCAGTAGTAGAGAGAATCCAATCCACTTCTGAGTTAGAAGGTCAACAAGGCGAGTTGGCCGTACTAGACCGTAGAATAAAACAAAAACGAGATGGTGGATGATTAGGTGCTAGTGCGGTGAGTGCTACTTATAATCAGATATAATTAGTTTGTCGGTAAACGAATTCAGAAAAGCAACAATATGTTTCGGACATTGGAAAAAGCAATCGAAGAACAGAACTGTGAGAAGAACATTAGAAACACTGTGCAGAATCCAACATGCTATCGAATGTGGTGATATTCGACCAATTTGAAAATGATGTGCAAATGTACAATGAGTTTGTCCTGATAAACATTCCTTCGTGCCTAGTCGGTCTTTTCTTCTCTACACTAGCACTTATAGGAAACCGAAATACTGTAATAAATACTTAGACTTTATTACATTCATCCCATCCAGAATCGGCAAAGATAAGTTTAGCTGAATGTCTGTATAATCGGGCCAGGGGCCTAACTAGTAAATCAGGAGATTTAAATTATGAAATCAAATAAATAAATCAAATATTATTAGCAATTCACTACCCACCAGAATTTATTCAGAAATATATGAAGAATCATAGAAATAAAATAAGATTAGCAATGAAATTGAAAAATAATAACATAGAATTCAGAGTCTCTGTAGTACCGCCGTATAAAGAAGGAACGTCAGGAGCCTTACGTAGTATTCTTAATGAGTCTTGAATTAGGGTGGCACTTAAACTAACCAACCAACTCTCTCAGAGATAAACGTTGTCGGTTTGTGGACCCAATAGATCCAATTAAGAAAAATAATGCAATTTACAAATAAACATGCAATGACTGTGAGGTCAATTACATAAGTACGACTGGTAGATCAGAGTCAGTTAGATTATTGGAGAATAAAAATTTATCTAGACCCAGAATGACTGACCCTGCTAAATTAAATAATTTAGAAAATGCAGAGCTCACCCATTGCATTACGTTCATTTGCATCTAATCACAAAATAAGGTGGGTGGGACAGGGTAAAAGTATTAAAAAGAAAGAGAGAGATATTATTCACTGCAGCTCTGTTTATCGACTGAACACCGCATAGGTGCTGTCAGAATGACGCTACGCCTATACCGGAGATATGGAAATTGGCAATCAATAGCAAATGGAAGGGGAAGGGAGAAAAAGAGAGAAAATGAACATAAGACAAATCGTGAGGCTGTTCGACTCAACTGATATGATTATGAGTGGGTATAATTTGTGCTCGAAACCTTGCCATCCAGTTATTAATATGAATCATAATTGTTTGATATTTGAAATCAACTTATCTGATATGGAATCACATTCTACCACACTGCCTTAGTTCTACACTTACAATTAGGGTATATTTTATTGGAACGTTGACTGTCACACATAGTTAAAGGTAATTTTATCGCCCCTAACAGTTTACCTTGCACTTATTGCTATACCGAAAAAGAAATATTCCTGTCATTACTCCAACGAACTGAATTACTCTTAGGCGACTGTTCTCACCTAAACGACCTGGAAATAAGAAGTAGTTTGGTTTTTATTTCGTTTTATCACATTTTGTTTGTAGCAAAGACTTAGCTGAGTAGTAGCCAATCCAGTATACATCTTATTTCCAGTCCTTAGTGTTGACGCTAACTGAATTCTATCTGTTAACTTTGCAGTGTGGTCTCACCAAGCTAAGCGATTAGACATCCCGGTGCATTTTTATTTGGTATTAGGTGGTTGGAGACACACTGCAGGAAGCCTTAAACTCAGGTATTGTGCTTATTGGTACTCGTTGGCAAAGTGTGTCCTTTGGAAAATACATTACTGAGTGCTGCAGTCAGGAATGATATGATATAGGCCTTACTGCCAACCGCCACTTAGTAGTGTGTTCCGGTGGGTGGTGGAGTTCTGTATCCAGTGCATCCTTTACTATCTCCAGGGCGATGCGACTTAGTATTTTACTTAGCGTGAACAACAGCATTATTCCACGCCAGATGTTGCAGAGTGAGGCGTAAGTCACCCTTCTTTGACAGCTTGACGAGGTAGCCTTTGTTCTGATTGGTAGATACATCTCCTTCCTTCCAAACCTTTTTCCATAATGGCGCGAGCATATCTGCGGCAGACACCGGGTCTGTTTTCAGTGCTTCGGGGGAAAGAATATCTTTGATAGTTGTCATTATTGGTGTCATTGTTTTAAGAGTCGATTTTTCTCAGTATACTGAACTACAAGTATTTAAAATTCACTAGAAAAATGAGTCATTTTCTCTTTCAACATCCTCCTCTCTCCTATCTTCATGTCATAATTCTGGATGAAACTGGCTCCCACTGCATTATAGCTTTGGCTGCTTTTGGTGACATCAAGATAGCCACTCAGTGCCTCAGTATGCTCGTGGTTGTCTTCTGGGTGACGGGACTATATTACTGACTCATTAGTTGACAGTTTAGCTAGGCCGCATCCATTCTATCTACTCTTGCAGATACCTAGCATTTCTATACCATTTCTTCTCATTTCTTTCGTTGCCTAGGCAGCCTTCCCAACCTCATACATTGTACGTACATTCCACGTCCCCATTCTTATTCTTGCTTTCATCGACAGAAGACACATCGGCTGACTGACTGGCTTCCCGAAGGCTTCTACCAGCCCGCGTTAATCCGTCTCTCAGATCCCAGCGAAGAATAAGTTTTTTTCTGGGTTTTTTCTGTATTTTTAATATTTTTCTTGTACGTTGAAGTTTCTATAGCAGTTTCATTAATTTTTCGGGATAGGGTAGCTAGCTCCACGCCTAAACCCCCCTCTTTTCCCAGGCTTGATACCGGCTAGAAAAACAGGCGAGGTTTGGTGAATCTTAAGGGCGTTTATTTACTTTACCCTTTGAAAAAATATTCAGTTCTATCTTGCTACAGTACAGACTATGTAGACTGTATTAAAGTGGTTTTTAAATCCATTTCCTGATCGTTGTGACCACTGTCTACCTTAGTGTTGAGCCTTAAGAAGACAGTACCAAGCATTTTCATGGCCAACAGATAAGATTTTAGACCCTAAAAGTCCTGATTTCAAACCTTGACAGGTGCGTACTGTTTAACTTTCCTAAACTAGGCTGAAACAGCTATTCAATACTACCTGGTTTCTCAGTGTTTCGCTAACTGATATCAGCTAGTGGTCAAACCTGTAATTTTAAATCAGTATTTAGCCTAAAACAGACTATTTTATAGTTGTCTTTTTCCTTTCATTGGGTAGTGTGAATTTTTGTCTCATTTGTTTTCCTCCATATTTTATACATTAACTATCTTTGCTATATTGTTTCGGATTGTAGTCATTTCAATCAAATATTCTAACTAATGTGACCAGATCCTACATTATCCTATTAACAGACAGACAATCGTAGTCAATCGGCAGAAGATTATCAGCATATGATGGTGTCTACGGATTATAATAACACTAGTTATATCTTCTATTTTTAGGATATTCCATACTACAGAAGGTGCAATAATCCAGAAAAAATATGATCAAATAATGAAACTTCTTCAAGAGTAAGTCCTATATTATACTAACTATACCATAAGATAACCTGATCACTTATATTTTGTGACTTATTTCACAATATGTAATTTTTGAAAATCTCAAGTATTTGTGAATTAAGAAAATGAGCAGTTGGGAGTCTTTTTTAAAACCACTTGTTTTAAATCGCACGAAAAAAAATGTAAGTGATAGGCATTATAAGCTAACTTAGTGTATAGAATCATCAATTGCACAAATAACTGTGAAATAAGCGAAGAACTTAGGTGACATAAAATGGCCTTTATAAAGGAGGTATTGTAACGACTTAATTTATTCTGTTATAGTCTGAACAGAGAGAAGACGGAGCTGATGCGGATCACCAATCAACCAATAACAACAACTAGTAATAATCACCATCAAAGGGCGAGATTTGACTGAGGTTACTTCCTTCACTTACCTAGCTATGCAGCATCGTTTCAACTACAGGGTGTCAGAGCCCGAATCGGAAATGTAAGATATACCTTCATCATTCTGAAACCAGTTTGGAAATAGTCTGGACTCCGCATCAGTATAAACAACAAGATTCGGATTTTCAAATGTGAAGTTGGCCAGTCACATCTTCCTGTATGGGTCAGAAACTTGACGCGTGTGTCACGGAAAGCATTTCCAACAGGCTACTGCAGACTTTTATCGACAAATGCCTTCACTGACTCCATATTGAAGATCAAATGGCTTGTTAGAAAGAATTAGAAACAGGAAACTCTGGGAACAAAGCGACCAACGACCTATTGTTCAATAAATATTTAGGGTAAAATGGAGATGGATTTGGCACACACTGAGGAAACCATTGGGTGACATCACGCACCAGACCATAGGTCGAATAGTAAACAACGAGTTGGTCATGGATCCAAGGGTGACACAGAGAAGGTTGTGCGAGGAGGAGATGAGAGACTATGGGCAATCATGCGCCCAGCTGAAGAGGACATCAGAGAATGGAACAAAGTGGAGATTTGTTGTTGAATCCCTATGTTCCACTTGGAACCCGAGGGAATAATAATATAATAATGGTCTGAATGCACGAAACCGATCTCTGCGTCCTACTATAAAGCTGACAAAACTTCGTTGAGGCATGCTCTCTCAAGAAACATTCCAAAGGCTGGGAAAAGGAGATTATTCTTTGATATTTTAGCGATTCCATTAAGAAATTATAACATTAAAACTCAAATTTACGTCAGCAGTGCAGTAAGGCGGCAATGCAGGCAAACAATACAGGTTTCTACATGGAAAACAAGTAATGTGAGGCAAAATTAGTTAACCAAAGTTCAACAGTAGAAGCAACCTTGTAATCGAAAAGAATATTCCCAACGAGGTGGGATTAAAATCTCTGTCCACGAGAATCATACACTAACGCTTCCTACTGCTACTACCATGTCAGAATGACTCTTATTCACCTAAAAAACTCATATCGTTTTAAATAACACACTGTCAAAATGCACACATAACCACAAGGAGAAGCATTGCAGTATTAAAGATTAAACAAGGACAAAGACAGATAATGAAGGTCAAAATCAACATGTGATATGTAGATGTCAAATTAATGATATATAGTCTAGGGGAAATAGGTATAATAATTACAAAAGTGACTGAAACGTCTTAATATTATAAATAGATCGTCTACTACAGGTATACTTAATCGGTATGGTTTTATTTTGAGAGATTTTCATAAAAAATTTAACTGAATTCAGCATCAAATGAATATTCAGTAAAGCTAATAGAAAAGGAAGTCTGTTCTGCATATTACTGAATACGAAATGAATGTGTAAACTTTGTTTCTGCATATGTTAAGATATGTACGTGTCATTTTGTCATGAAATGTCTAAACTCTATCTAGCAAAGACTCTAAGGAGAAAGCATTCTCGTGTTAGATCAAAGGAACTACCCACTTTGCTGTAATTCCATAGCTGTTTGCTTCTCAAATATAGCATACAAATTTATTACACAACAGATCACGCAGTACACTTATTCGGGACTGCATTTTATTCCCGTGTATGAGTTCTATTCGTTTACCCCATGATAGCTAAGACATTTATAGTGTTATTTCATCAAAACCCCATGGGTAGGTGGCTATGAGGATCCTTAGAATCTTCCAACCTTACTTACACACTATCTTTTTAAATATCATCTACATAATGGGCTGAAGAGAGAGGATAAAAATGATTGATAAATAGCCGAAGATATCGCTTCTGTTTACTATTTCCATACATAAAACATGCACGAACCGTCACTGAAAACTACGGAGCACTGAACAGCTGTTTTATCCTATTCTGGTACCCACGACGCTGCCAGGGATCGAACTCGGGACCTTTAGGGTACAAGGTCAAGCTCGTCTGCCTTTTAGCCATTTAGGCTATACTTCAATGACCCTTGAATTCTAACCTAATCAACTTGCGATGCACAGTGCTGGCCTTACCGATGCCTTTGATGAACATCCACATCAGCTTAACATGGTGGGCCACAGTGGTAACGACTTCTCACTGCACCTTCAGGACATCCATCCAGTAGCCATCGATGAGCTGTCCCGTAATCTAAATACGAATATCTACATATCACAGAGTTAGAATTCATGTGCTACTGAATTACGGTCCAAGGGGCTGAATAACCAACGAGCTTGGTCTCGTAACCTCGAGGTCCCGGATTCTCTCCCTAGCAGGATGGTGGGTATGTACTGCTGAACAGTAACAAAATAGGATAAAACAACTGTCCAGTGCTCCGTGGTATCTCTCTAAATGATAACGGTTCGTGACAAAATCCAACAAGAGAACTTGTACTTTAGTCTTTCAAACCCGAAACAAGAACACTATGCACAAATTGTTTCATAATTAGATAAATAAATAAATAATATTCTGTGAATATTCAAAGAATTTTTTTTCTAGTTACATATATTATCATTTTACTTTGATTTAGTTATGAAGAAGAGGCATTTATTGAATGGTCTAAAAGTGTTGATGAGATATGCTCATTTAATTTATCTCAACCATTACTTGTACGTGATCCAAACACAAAAATGCTCAGTGTAAATTTTGATGCAAAGGTTAGTTATAATTATTGCTGAAGCACTTAAATTTGATACTCTGCTTCTTTTTTCACTGGGGTTTTCTTTATCATTTACAATAATACGAAGACGATAGTAAGTGTTGGATGACTTTATTATCTCTGGACTGAAAGTAACAGCTTCCTGATGGCTGATCCGACACCGTGAACTTGGACTACAAAATGACCACAGATATATGAAATGTCACATAGGACTGGATCAGTTCAAGTTACTATACTACATCAAAATAAAAGTGTAATCAAAACAGACCATTAAAAAAGATAATTGAAGGGTATAATGATAATTTTAGATTGCTGGAGTAACCTAAACTTCAGGGAAAAGCATAATAAACAGAACTGTTCCACTGTCATTGTCATGTCGTCGAATATAAGAACTACTGGTTCCTAGCTTCTCAAAAGGAAAGTAGTTAGAAAGCTAGAAAAACTTCCCTGCACAGCACAAAATAAAGTCTCATGCCTTAACTGGACGGCCTTACGGGCGTTCTCCAACTTAACTAGGCTCCAACCCATCGTTTGTATTGGGAAAAATAAAGTCTTGGCATGAACATATGTGGGAATTACACTTCCTTATTAACTGACTTTTGCATCTTAAGTTGGCGAGTGAGAAAGCTTTATCTGTAAAGAATGGCGTGATTTGAGACATATCTATCTTTTTTACTAATAAATTTTTGGCTAGATATCATATTTTTTGAAATCAATTAGGATAGGTTACAGGATTTCATCATCAGCTGAAATCGGTTAGAGAACCACTGGAAAACCACCTGGGAGTGCCGGGCAGCTGTTTTATCCCACTATTTCGCGGCTTCCCAGCAGTACGCACCCACCAGGGATCGAAACCAGGGCCTCCTGGTTAAAAGGCGAGCTCTTAGACCATTAAGCTACTTGGGCCCGATCCGATGGCACATGAATTCTAACTTCTGCCAATTCATGACATGCCTGACCTGCTGCACCCTACTGGTCACGACTTCCTACTAGAACCTCAGGTAACTACCTACCTGAATAGGGGTAGCTGCCAGTCAACATCGTATTGAATCATCAGTTAAATCCCTACAAATCTGTACTTGAATATCAATTAGGATAATTTACGTAAGAGTAACAGTAACAAAATAGTGTAAGGAAATATTAGGCGCAATTAAATGTAAGTTACTGGATTTACAGACTATTATACAAGTAAATGATGAAGATAATTATTGCTAAAGCAATTAAATCTGATAATTTGATTCTTTAACAAAATATGAACATGATAAAGTACAGGTATCATACTAGAAAGTCACTAGCAAAAAACAAACGCGCAAGGGAATACAACTCGATTGTGTATCATGAAGGCAGTCATTGTTAACTGAATGCTAAGTTCGTTGGTTCCATGCTTATTTACAATTACGCCCAACATGTATCTACAGATGGTTGGAGACAGTCAGCAGGAAGCCTTGCATCTAGGTTTCGTGTCAGTTGGCACTCGTCAGCAAGGACTAGATATATCACACTAGTTACTAGCTCCAATCACTGTATCTACAGTGTCAACGAACTCGTGCATATCTTGCAAGCATTCTACCATTGAACCACCGACGTATAATTTAATTAATGATATACCCAGTGACCGGCTTTCATAAGCACTACAGACACTCATCTTAGCCTTTAGCAGAACCAGAAGTGCGCACACTATTATCCAGTGGTGTAACCACTTGAATGCACTCTCCGCTGAATGGATCAAATAATAAAATACCCATGCTTAGATAATACCACAAACACTGTGATTCCCATGTATTTAAATAACCATCATTAGTAGAAATCCAAAAAAATGACTTCAACGTGTCTTTCTGTTATTGAATTCAATAGTCATCATGGAGATAATCAAAATTAAAGCATCAAATCCTAACGAAGAAACGTCAAAATAAGGTGTTATCACTCCTCCAGTAGTTTACTGAATAAACATACTGAAACTAAATGGGTAAATGACTGAAAGTTAACCACAATCATTTAGGTACCTATTTTTGGTGTGCGTGTTTGAAATCATCTTTTACAAGCATACCAAATGAGTAGGATTATATGTTATAATTTTATTTCAGTCTACTTTTTCCGTTGTATAACTAACTCCTAAAACAATTTTATTATCAGAATGCACTAAAAATATTCATAGACTTCAGTGGGTTCACTTCAATACAGAAGACATTTCTGCTGCCTTCGCTGAACGGTTAGATAAATACTATTACTGGAGATGCTAGTTAACTTGTTTTTGGTGTAAGATAAGGATGAAGCGAACATTCTAGAACCAGAAAAGTAGGCTGTACCACAAACACTGAATATGATCTGCATGTAAAACAACTCAAACTAAGCAAAGTACAAATCAGACAGTATAATCAAGAAGATGAATCAAAGAACTAATAAAGAGGATCAAGTATTGATATTTCAAAACTAAATATTAAACAAACAATACCCACTGATACTTCGGCAAGAAAGACTTCAGCGAGAAAAATTCTCTTTGTGACATTTTCATTTCCATAACTGTACAACTGTAATTATATATGGATTATTAATATTCGTTTCTTGGGTATTGAGTGGAGAATAGGGCTTCAGCAGCACATCTGCATTACACGACTGTCCACAATCTTTCACTTCCGCTTTATATATTCTTCCATATGTCACCTTCAAACCCTCAGGTCTCACTGGAAAGCGTGTCTGCCGTGTGATATTACTTTAACGTCTCCTCAGAGTATTTCTAATCCACCTATTTCCATTACCTTTTACAGATTATTTTAGTTGGCTTTTTCATATCTGGCTAGCTTTCAGAATCCCCTGAAGCTTGGCCTTTCTTGTCTTCCGGCCGCGTGTTCTGTAGTGTCGGCGAAGGAGGCAGGTGTGGAGAAAAGTGTGTCTCCAGTTACGGGCACTCCAAGTCCTTGAACTACGTGGAAGCACTGGTTTCACATTAAAGTTTAAACTCCCGTGATTGTTTCTTGGCCTGAATGATATAGGTGTCCAGAGCAGTGTTCAGAGTGATGAACGCCTATCTTACTCGCCTGCGTAAAAAAGGCAGAGAATTAGGTCGGCAATACAAATATTGAAGCGCAATACTAAATGATCGACATGAGATATGAACCACAAACTGATTAGAAAAAATAGGAATGACTACAACAAAGAACAGCAGGTATATAAATAAACGACTGAACACTGTGTTAATTCTATTGAAGGACTAACTCACGATAACTAGTTAATTATTTTGCTCTCTTCAAAGATTGTATTATAACATTAAAGAATGACAGATACACCAGTTTACTCTGATATACCGACGAAATGACATGACAATGGTAAAAACGACAGAATTCATGTTGTTAATATAATCAAGGATGATTGACAGTTACATTAGAAATAAGTGTAACTGCTAATGTTATCGTTTTACTTCCCGACAAATATTTTGGAAGCATTGCAAATTTTAAAATGTTTAGATGATTTTTTTGTTTAACAATCACTAATGCCTTGGTTTTACTTTTTGCTTTCATAATCAGCTTGTAGCTATTCTACGTGAAGTCAAATACTTGGGTATACGTGCAAAAGAAACAATACCTGAGTCAGCAGCTAAGCTATATGAACAAAATGATAAATTACGCAATTTCCATATTAGCTTAGATATGATTGTTCAAGCCTATAGCTATTTGTCGAATAAACTTTTACCTGAAGAATCAGAACTTATCACCGGTGAAATAAACGCATTCGATGAACAGGCGAAAAAAGCAGAAACTGTTTTAAACTGGCAGACAAGTGGTATGCACATTTTATGTCTTTATTTATTTAATTATTCCATTAGTATTTCACAAGTAGTTATTTTTTATTTAATAGTAAAAAATTTTGTCAACTGGTTGAACTTATTCGCAAAGAGTAGTTTCCAATTTCTATGTGGCTAGTCTTTGGTGTGTTATTATAAGCTGTTTAGGAAACTCAAGGACAGATTGTAAAACAAAAATCAGAAGCTCATTTGAAATAGATTGATATCAACTCCATGCATAAATTATATTAGGCATTATACTTAATTCAGAAATAGAATCAGTTTTCTGATAAGTGGTATCAGGTACCTATCAAAAATTGCTCGATACTGTATTTTGTTGCGTTGGTTTCATTGTGACTGCTATGAATGTCTATATATTTTACCTGTTGTCACTGTGACTTCTTTGCTTGACTGACAAAGCCACTTTACACTATTGTGTTTCATCCACCTCAGCACGTTACATCAATGAGAGAACTATAATGTTGAAATAAACACAACAGAGGTGACCGGAAAAGACACTGTCCGATAAATTTACTTACTGTTGGCCTGATCATGTTGAAAATGTTTGGGTTACTTGGTTGCGATCCACATAGCCCCGCAACCCATGTTAAAAGACTACCGGAGGTATAATTCAGGATGGAAAGTAGTGAAGCAGATTCATTCACGGCTAAAATATCTCTTGATAAAGCTAGAAAGATGAACTTTCAATATGAATAGATGTTACTTTATTTCACAGATTCTCATCAGCTTTAGACTAGCTGAATCTACAACGGTTATAAAATAATGGTAGCAGGGAAAATGTTATAAATTAAGGCATCCAGCACATAAAGATAACAATTTCTAGTTGAAGACATTATCAGTTTATATGAACAGCAAAGAAAAAAGGCGGTTTGGGGGAGGAAAAGTCAGGAAAAAGAAAAAACATAAGCACTGCCATCTTCTAAGGTAATCTAACAGTTAAAAAAGGACTGAAATCAGCTTACTGAGAGGAAATCACTAAAATGGATGATTGTGCAGTCGACGTAATCAAAATCGCAATGCCAAGATTGATCTCCTCTCTCCTTTTTCTTTTCTTATTTTGGACTGAAGCACACATTGCTACTCCTGTGGCTTCGTCTAATAAGAAGATTTATCAGTAGTACATAAATAGACGTTCATCGGCAAAGAAAATATGAAATGACGGAGAGATAAACATGATATCAAAGAGAAAAAAGGACCAGTATTGAACCAAAACATGGGATACACGAAAAAAAGACAAAAATCACAATGTGAAAGGCAGAAGTAGCGCTCAAGGTGTACATAATTTCCCCACATAGAGATATCGAATTCCAAATAAACATTTCGATACCAAGTTTCTTGTCTTCTGTCGTTACGTTTTGGTGTCACCGCCTATTGACAGTGGAGATCCCATGGCCTGCTACCTTCAAAGAAGCATGCATCAGGAGCTCCTTGTGAAGCTTCGATGCCGTCGCGGGGTTGGTGAGCAAAGGTGGTGACGATGGGCACGCTGCTGAGAGATCAAGCAAGGATGGCGGTCAGGCGATAGAGAAACCTGGAAGATATTGCTTGAGCGATCGGTGGCGGAGTTCGACAGTCTGACGGACATGCAGCTGGCGATGCAACAGTTCCGTGCCGTTAGTCTGGGACCTCGTGGAGACCCGTAAGTGTTGGTGGGGAATTTGAAAGATCTACTTTGCCGCTCACTCACCACATTGGACGAAGAGTCAGAGCCGCAATTAATGAATTCCTAGTTCATGAAGAATGTTCCAGGTCACAAATCTCAGCAACTACAACTGGTTAACGCTGCGCAACTCATGGACATTGGTGAGCTAGGGAAGGTGACCAGACAGCTATTGGGCAAAACGGTAGCCGTAATAGAGCTTCTGAAATAGAACCAACAGTCACATTATTACTAGCTTCAGAGATTATTTTCGTTCGTTTTTCTTATGTTGGGATATTGCATAGTTCTGTTAACAGTGAAGCAGCTGAAAAGCGTCCCGAAGTAACCACAAGCATATATTTTGCCTTGTAGATTCCAGAATATCAGCTTGCTGTTTTGCAGCTGAAGATGATAAGGGAAGCCTGACATATTTACAACTGAAAGGAGTAGGAGACCAACTTTGTGTAACTTTCTTGTCATTAGCTTCTTGTTTGATGTGTTGGTAGTGTGATAATATGATTACCTGAACTAATAAACAATGAGGATATGTCCTATTTTGATAAATTTTAGTAACTGTGTTCCCATGCACACTCGCCTTTGGACACGAGCTAAGGAAATGTCATATTGTTGTTTTTTGTTATGTGCACATATTTCTGTGTTTCAACAGTCACCATAGTTTTTTTATATGTCTTGACATAGCTTTGAGAGTTGAAAACTAACGTCATTCAACGTTCTTCATTTAATTCATATGTAGTAATAGTGACTGTATACATTATTTCCGACAGTATACGTTTATTCAGTGGTAAGGTCTCTGACTGCAGCACTCTGTGGCTCGGATTCCAATCCCACAAGGGATATTGGTTATTTTTCGTTGTTGGTTCAGTAGTAGAGTGCTCATCAGGCACACATGTGGGCTAGTGTTCGATTCATCGCAGATGCCCTCTTTAACCTTGACAAGTTTAGTAGCTAGGAAGTAGTTAGCCCAGTAGGGGGGAAAGGTTGAGCGTGAGACTAGCAAAGCCACTTCGTAAGAAGAAACACCACTGAAACTTCAAACCTCAAGCCTGAAGCCCTATTTTCCATTCTGAAAGCAAAAGAATGGAAAAAAAACATTTCTTTAACAAAGTAAAATGAACCTGGAAATTGTTTCGAAATTTTATTAGATCTAATTAATGACATAAAAATGACCTAGATTGGTCAGTGTATCACGCACTACAGTCTTAGAATTATTTACAAATAGCATCAATAATATATACTTGTATTAATTATATTTTTCAGATGCATGGGATTACATAGAAAAAACACGGAACCAAGTCGATGATTTAAAACGTCGGGTTGTACAGACGCAAGAAAATGTTCAACAGATTCAATTAATCATGACTAATTGGTCTAAACTACCCTTGTTCGAACGTAAAGATGGTAAACGAGAGACATTATTAGGATTAGATGATCGAGAGGATAGATGTTCTAAACGATATACAGAAATTACTGAGGCCGGAAAACAAGTTCTTAATCTTTTACATGTAAGTTGAAGTCAAGTTTTAAACATCAAGATTAATAACAATAATAATTTATGAAGAGGAGTAAGTGTAAGGCTCTTTTAATTTCCCTCACCTAACTTAGAAGTCTCAGGTGCAAATGTCAATGAATTAAAACAGTGCATAATTCTGACCCTAGTGCAAACTAAGACAAAAGATTACATTATCAAATAATGACTACTTTATTCATAGTTCATCTACACGGAGGTGATTCAACAGTTCACTTATCAGTTGAAGATATTTGTAGTGTTGTGTAATCAGTTGAACTCTCGTATACATTTCCCCTTGTCAAATTATTATTATTCTCCTAGGTCCTCTTTCGCTGTCTCCAAAAGTGCCCATAAGCTCTCATCTCCATTTGACACGGTCTCCTCCATTTTACCCACGGAATGACGCCCAACTCGTCGTTTCCCATCCAAGTTCCACTCGGACGATGGCCTGCACTGCGCGCTATGTCATTCAACGGTCTTCTCAACATGTGCCCAATCCACCTCTATTTTCTTCGGCATATTTTCTGGGCAATAGGTTCCTGTGTGGTTCATTCCCGGAATTCCCTGTTGCTAATCCTATTTTGTCGCTGACTATTTGATCTTCAGCATCGAGAGAAGGAAGCTCTTTCAAAATAGTCGGCTATATTGTGAATAAATTTATTAAAAGGATAACAAATGACCATCGTCTTCTAGCCTGTCTTATGGTAAAGTCATAGTGCTTCCTCTGATATAACTACAGTCTTTTGTCTCTCAAACTAACTTTAGAATATGTGGAACTTCATTCTAATCATATTTCTAATTTTTAGATTCCAAACTGCTTTAAAAGCACATCATTCATGCCGCATATATGTGCCAAACACCAGCAAATTTAGAAAAATGTTTGCGAAAAAATGGATGACATTATTACTAACAGTTGTTTCATAGTAAACTAAACTACTGAGGTTGATGAAGCGGTATGCCAAATGGCGTTAAACTATTCGAGTGACTTTTTCCTCACGAATTATCTCACATATATTTGAAAAGCTTAACGGCATGCCGTATACCCGCAGAAAACACCCCATCAAAGCAAAGATAAACGCCAGAACAGCTGAAGCAATTTGAATTAATTCGGGGGATAGCGATTAGCAGTGGAATCCAGGACACTCATTTAGACTTATTTGGGACTCGTCAGCCGGGTGTACCTGCATTCCAGCTGAGGTTCGGACCCAGTAACCATCGTTTGAAAAGCCGAAGCTGTATCCACTAGACCACTTGAACCACGACAGACACCTCTTGTATAAGTGGTGCCAGTTATTATTTAATTCAGTTTAACTCAATGGTTGGCTACTCTCTTGGCTCAATTGGTCTAGTAGATACAGCTTTGGTGTTTGAAACAATGATTACTGCATTCGAGCCTCAGTGGGGCGAGGACACCATCATTCACTGGGAATGCAGGTACATCTAGTTGTCGAGTCCTAAATAGGGCGATTCTGCTGCTAGCCATTATCCACCAAATTATTTCAATCCAAGCCCTTAGACACCGTCAAAGCATCCACACAAACAGCCGACATGTCACCAGAAACTGAACACTTCGATTCAGTCAATCAACGGGTAAGTCAAAATTGAATTGAACAACAGCTGATGCGACTGTTACGATCGTGTCTCCCAATATTATATTGGATCACAAAGATGAATCATATATATGTATATACATATATATATATATATATATGTATATATATATATGAGATACAAACACCTGACAACTCAGCCATATAAGTTGTCTGAAAAAGTGAATAAATCCAAAATCACCAAGAAATTGAATTATTTATGATTTTATTATTATTATTATATCATAATGTAGTCAGCTGAATTCCATTAGAATTAAGAAAAATCATTGTACTGTCTCGTTTACATCATGACAACCGGTTTATTGATGCATTTAGCTAACGATACGCGGTATGCCGCAGAGCTATTCAAATGAATTTGGGGATAATTGTGCCATAACAACATGCCAGATAGTGTAAACATTCGCCGTGGTGTTTTCCAATCTCTGGCTGTTCATGAACTACTTACATTCATTATCTTTCAAAAATATTTACGAACTTAAATCATCACTCTTATGCATTAACCTTACTGGAAATCGGAATTCGAACTCACTGTTTAATGCTTGTCAGTCTTAATACTCTTTACTACTACTACTACTACTACTACTACTACTACTACTACTACTACTACTACTACTACTACTACTACTACTACTACTACTACTACTACTACTACTACTACTACTACTACTACTACTACTACTACTACTACTACTACTACTACTACTACTACTACTACTACTACTACTACTACTACTACTACTACTACTACTACTACTACTACTACTACTACTACTACTACTACTACTACTACTACTACTACTACTACTACTACTACTACTACTACTACTACTACTACTACTACTACTACTACTACTACTACTACTACTACTACTACTACTACTACTACTACTACTACTACTACTACTACTACTACTACTACTACTACTACTACTACTACTACTACTACTACTACTACTACTACTACTACTACTACTACTACTACTACTACTACTACTACTACTACTACTACTACTACTACTACTACTACTACTACTACTACTACTACTACTACTACTACTACTACTACTACTACTACTACTACTACTACTACTACTACTACTACTACTACTACTACTACTACTACTACTACTACTACTACTACTACTACTACTACTACTACTACTACTACTACTACTACTACTACTACTACTACTACTACTACTACTACTACTACTACTACTACTACTACTACTACTACTACTACTACTACTACTACTACTACTACTACTACTACTACTACTACTACTACTACTACTACTACTACTACTACTACTACTACTACTACTACTACTACTACTACTACTACTACTACTACTACTACTACTACTACTACTACTACTACTACTACTACTACTACTACTACTACTACTACTACTACTACTACTACTACTACTACTACTACTACTACTACTACTACTACTACTACTACTACTACTACTACTACTACTACTACTACTACTACTACTACTACTACTACTACTACTACTACTACTACTACTACTACTACTACTACTACTACTACTACTACTACTACTACTACTACTACTACTACTACTACTACTACTACTACTACTACTACTACTACTACTACTACTACTACTACTACTACTACTACTACTACTACTACTACTACTACTACTACTACTACTACTACTACTACTACTACTACTACTACTACTACTACTACTACTACTACTACTACTACTACTACTACTACTACTACTACTACTACTACTACTACTACTACTACTACTACTACTACTACTACTACTACTACTACTACTACTACTACTACTACTACTACTACTACTACTACTACTACTACTACTACTACTACTACTACTACTACTACTACTACTACTACTACTACTACTACTACTACTACTACTACTACTACTACTAACTACTACTACTACTACTACTACTACTACTACTACTACTACTACTACTACTACTACTACTACTACTACTACTACTACTACTACTACTACTACTACTACTACTACTACTACTACTACTACTACTACTACTACTACTACTACTACTACTACTACTACTACTACTACTACTACTACTACTACTACTACTACTACTACTACTACTACTACTACTACTACTACTACTACTACTACTACTACTACTACTACTACTACTACTACTACTACTACTACTACTACTACTACTACTACTACTACTACTACTACTACTACTACTACTACTACTACTACTACTACTACTACTACTACTACTACTACTACTACTACTACTACTACTACTACTACTACTACTACTACTACTACTACTACTACTACTACTACTACTACTACTACTACTACTACTACTACTACTACTACTACTACTACTACTACTACTACTACTACTACTACTACTACTACTACTACTACTACTACTACTACTACTACTACTACTACTACTACTAACTACTACTACTACTACTACTACTACTACTACTACTACTACTACTACTACTACTACTACTACTACTACTACTACTACTACTACTACTACTACTACTACATAGATC